GTGAACACATTGAGGTTTGCATATGGAGGAATTGTCCTGCCACAGACAGGACCTGAAGGAGGTATAGAGCTGCCATCATATCTTGCTGACCTTCACTTAGCTCCACCCGCCACACGCCGTCCACCAGGGAGGCCCAAGAAAATGAGGTACTTCTCTAGGGGAGAGAAACGGGTAAGTCATAAATTTAAGCTACTTATATTTCCAGTTAACTAACCGTGGTAGCTCTATTGCAATAAGAAGTTCACACGTTTATTTTTTGTGCAGATGAAATGCATCCGCCGAAAGGTTATGTGTAGCAGGTGCAAGGGCATTGGCCACAACAAAGCTACTTGCAAGAACCCAATATAAGAGAATGAGTCTGTGAATCTGTAAGGAGGAGAGCTTTAGGCGAAGGGGTGATTTGTAATGGACGGAAAGGTGGAAACTAATGGTGGGATAATTGGTCGTTATGTTTAATATATGTTATAAGACACCATGGTGGGTTTGTAGGGGATTTGGATAAACGCTTTGTGTTATAAATAATAAGTTCTCTTCCGGCTAATAGAGTTATGTTTGCTCTTCTGATGTTGACCACAATTCCGGGTGAAGAGAGAATGCATAAGTTCAAAACATATTGAAAACCTAACCGGTTGTTAACACACAAGACATAGCCGGCTAATTGATGTACTAAAGGATACCGTAAATGATGTAGTCGACAATACACATCGGATAGCCGGCTAAATGATGTACGTTAGATGGTTCTGGTTTATGTATTTTAGGTAGCCGAAATTTAGAAAACTGAAACTACGATAATAAAGCATCCCACCTAACATCTGAAGGGATGATATACCTTTGAACAAATGAAAAACGTAAACCGTACACCCTGAACCATAAACCGAATAATAGATATCCGGTTATACAATTTGTAAACCCTAAACACGAAACCCTAATCCCTAAACACGAAACCCTAATCCCTAAACCTTAAACCCTAAAGAGTAATCCATAAACCCTAAACCCATAATAACTAAACCCTAAACTTTAGATCGACTCACTGGTACGATATAATAACCAGTTGACAAGACACATCGATTTGCCCTATAATTTATGCACTTAATATCCTTCTGCTATATCAATTATAGTTAGCCGGATAAAAGATAACTTAGCCTCCAATAATAAAGCATAAACACCTGACATCTTTATGGCTGATATACATTTGAACAAATGAATAACCTAAACCCTGAACAGTAAACCCTAAACCCTGAACACTAAACCCTAAACCCTATACCCCAAACCCTAAACCGTAAACCGTAAAGCCTAAACCCTGAACCCTGAACACTTAACCCTAAAGAGTAATCCATAAACCCTCACCCATAATCACTATACCCTAAACTTTAGCTCGAATCATTCGTACGATATAATAAGCAGTTGACAATACACATCGGATTGCCCGAAAATTTATATACCTTAGAACCTTCTGCTATATCAATTATAGTTAGCCGGTTATTAGATAACTTAACCTCTAATAATAAAGCAAAAACACCTAACATCTGTAAGGCTGATATACATTTGAACAAATGAAAAACCTAAACCGTAGACCCTAAACCATAAACCCTAAACACTAAACCCTAAACAATAAACCCTAAACCCAAAAAAATAAACCCTAAACCCTAAACAATAAACCCTAAACCCTAAACCCTAAACCCTAAACCCTAAACACTAAACACTAAACACTAATCCCTCAACACTAAACCCATAAACCCTAAACACTAAACCCTAAACACTAAACCCTAAAGCCTAAACCCTAAACCCTAACCCCTGAACAGTAAACCCTAAACCCTAAACCTTATACCCTAAACCCTGAACCATGAACCCTAAATAGTAATCCATAAAACCTCACCCATATTCAGTAAACCCTAAATTGTAGCTAGACTAATGCGTACGATATAATATGCCGTTGACAATACACATCGGATTCCCTGAAAATTTATGAACCTTATATCCGTCTGCTATATCAATTATAGTTAGGCGGATATTAGATAAATTAACCTCTAATAATAAAGCAAAAACACCTAACATCTGTAAGGTGGATATACATTTGAACAAATGAAAAATAAAAACCCTAAACCATAAACCCTAAACCCTAAACCATAAACCCTAAACCCTTAACCCTAAACAATAAACCCTAAACCCTAAACCCTAAACCCTAACCCTAAACCCTAAACCCTAAAGAATAAACACTAAACACCAATCCCTCAACCCGCACACATAATCCCAAAACCCTAAAGTTTACATGGACTTTGAGGAATCGTAGCGTAACCAGTTAACAGTTCACATAAGATAACCGGCTATAAGATTTACTTTATATGGTTATGCTATATGAATTTTTGTTACTCGGCTATTAAAAAACTTAACCTTCACTAATAAAGCATATCTACGAACATGTTGACACATCGGATAGCCGGCTAAATGAGTTACTTTATATCCTAAAGAATAAACACTAAACCCTAACCCTAAACCCTAAACCCTAAAGAATAAACACTAAACACTAATCCCTCAACCCGCACACATAATCCCAAAACCCTAAAGTTTACATGGACTTTGAGGAATCGTAGTGTAACCAGTTAACAGTACACATAAGATAACCGGCTATAAGATTTACTTTATATGGTTATGCTATATGAATTTTTGTTACTCGGCTATTAAAAAACTTAACCTTCACTAATAAAGCATATCTACGAACATGTTGACACATCGGATAGCCGGCTAAATGAGTTACTTTATATCCTTATGCTACATCTATGATAGTTATCCGGATATTAGGAAAATGAGCTTCGAATAATAAAGCATACCAGCTTACATATTTATGGGTGATATACAGTTGCTAAACCCTAGACCCTTTACCGTAGACCCTATATCATAAACCGGAAAACATATAGCCGGTTATATAATTTCATAACCATGAATAATAAACCCTAAACCCTATACCAAACCCTCTTAACTATTTACCCTCAACAATAAAAGCTACACCCTTAACCCTTACCCTAACAAGTAAACAATATACATAACATAGCCGGATAATTGGGATAAAAGTGAAGATATGATTTAGTAATGACATATAGCATGTAATTTAAAAATTTGAACAAGAGTAATAAATGATTTACTCAGTTCTATTAAGAGTTAACACTTATATGGCAACATTAGTAAAAGTAGAACAGTTGATATATATAAGGAAATGTGAGAATTTTTCATTAAAAACTCCGTGAGACAAAGTAGAAGATAAGTAGACAAATTTCCAACCCCATAAATGTCATTACTTGCGTATTTTCTTAGACATAGATGACACGATTTCGACAATCTCCGTGACATCTTTCTTCAGCTCCTCAAGTTGTTCCTTGATCTCGTTCAAATCATTCGCCATGTCCTCATTTTTTACTGAAAGTATTTCAATCTCCTCCAACAGAGCCTCGTCTGCCCATTTGAACAGATGATTTTCACCAAATACTAATCCGCATCTGTAGAATCTTCTGCCTGGATTTTCCTTTGTCTTAGAAGTTAGAACAAGCGTCGCTGCTCCGCAGGGACACCTCCGCGGTATACCTTCACGTAACTCGAGGTTCATGTATACAACCTAGGAGATTATATGGACAAAATTGGTTAGGGTATGACCAGGTCAGTTGAGATAGCAAAGACAAGAATAGATCAGATTTTTACCTGGATGAAATTTCGGTAGTTCCCCTCAAACAGCAGCTGCAACTAAAATGAAAGGTAAACGTAAGGGGGCCAGCATATGTTAAGCCAAATAAAAGGGTGCTTATGGTATATATAGTAGATCTAGACCTAAGTGTACAGTGGAAAAGGGGACATATAGATAATGAGGACCACACGTTAAGTGGTTGAATTGTTTGACACAATAATTGATGACGTACAGGATATACCTAGGGTGATATAAGAAGTTGGCCGGTTAAACTAAATACAGTACCATAGTCTCAAATACTAAATAGAGTAATACAACGTTCATGAAAGAGTTAACAAAGAAACATAAACTTGAAAGTTCTCCGAGGCAGATGTTAAAAAAGAGAATACAAGAGAGCAAGCAATAGTGCACAAATCACAGCGGCCCAATATTGTCTTCATATAGAGAAACCAGAAGACGCTCAACGTGGCTATCAAGGACATCCGGGGTAATCCATTTACAAGCATCAACACCTCCTACACCATGCCCTTGGATGAAGAGCACAGATGAGACTGCAGAATGTGTAACTTCTTTTTGCTGAGGAATGTTACGGGGCCTATCAATACCCATTGGTTTCCCCTCTCGAACACCAACGCTTCTACCGAGATACTTGAGAAGGTATGGAAACATCAACGCAATTGGTCTTATATCCTTGGTCATCATGTAATCTGTTCGTAGCCGATTATTGCAGTCCAGGACGGTGACGACCCAAGTAGAGCAATCTACACATATGCCGACCCACTGGTTTCCGGGAAGTTTCAATGGGAAATAGAAACGTACAGCTTCAGCGGTCGATGAATCATGTCGAAACAAACCAGTAAGACCTTCCGGAAATTTGAAGTTTTCTTTCCTTGACAACTTCGAGAACTTTGAATACAAGTTGGTGAAGAGCGAGACGAATTTCGTATCCATAAAGACGAAATTGGGTTGTTGGTCTGGAGAAAGCTGAGTCCGGAACAACCTACTAGTGTGGAACATAAGCACATCTACAACCTGGTGGACAAAAAATTAAGAGGAGCAGAAGCAATGGTAAAGAAACAATGCAGAGGAAATAACTAACAATGCAAAGCGGATATGCGATAATCAATATCGGGACACTGCTTGCAACTAACCTTATTTGATAGTTGACTGGATCTCTGCATAACCTCGTAAAGCTCCGTGCTATTAATATCCCCACTTTCGGTTGCAATGGAACTTGAAAATAGAAATAATGGTTTTATATTAGACGGGTAATAAAAATAACATAATGATACCATGGTAAATAACTATGTGCATTAAAAGGTTGGACTTACAATGGTGTCTGCATCTTGTCAAGTAACAGAGCAAACTTGGCAGCGTAATCTAGGTCACCACCTTTGTAGATTGCATTGGTAACCGACTTTCTAGCACGGTTTAAAGAAGTTTTATCACATTCGTACTCCCCCATGAACAACTTGGTTGGGACCTTCTGCCTCTTGCCTCTCCGAAAGCCATTTTCAGGTTCGTCAAATGTGGTGGCAACCGGTTCCTCGGTAACAGATTTAAGATCAGGAGCATCGGTCTTACCACTCTTTCCAAGTGCGGCACGTTCCTCTTGGGTTAGTCCAAGGGAGAAGGTTGGGTTGGGAAACAACAAACCCGGATCAAGGTTCTGCAGTGGTGATACGAGTTGGACTTGGTTAACAACTATGATAAGTATAGACGGTGAGACAAAGTAATTGTTTAAGTGAGTAAACATACCATGTCTTCCTCAGATTGAGTCGGTACAGGTGCAGATTGCTCAGCCGCAGCTTGTTGTTGGCAAGTGGTACCAGTGGCTGCTGTTCCCGTGGTTGTGTTCTCGCAGCTAGTGTCACATCCCTGTTATCAAACACACATGAAACCATTAAAAAAGGAAAAACATAACAGGTGTTTTAAAATTTTTTGTAACCGGCTACGTTGAAACTTACATCTGCCTGAGAATCAGTGGAACGTTGTGCAAACCTAATTGCGTCTGATATAATTCCTGTAGTGTCTGGTATGGTCTGAGTACTGGCGTCAACAACTGTCGGTTGCTGCTTTTGCCTTTGTCCAGAAACACGCTGTCCGTTTGCGGTAAAGTTCTGAATTTCAGCCGAGAGTGTTGTCATTTGCGCGACACTGTCTTGAACAATTCCGTGCAACTCGCTGAAATTGAGCAGAATAGTTTCGGTAAATCCAGTAAGCGAGTCCTGCAGTGTTGCTATGTTGGCGTGAAGAAGCTGAAAATCGTCCTTGAGTTTATCTCGAACAACAGATGCAACCACATCAAAATTGACACCATCTTGACTTGGACAACTAGTGCTAGCCTTTGATTTCCCAGTTTTCCTATTTTGGAGATGTACTTTACCCTCTTCACGCATCCTGCTTACTTCAAATTTAGTTGACCCACCGAGAAAGTCTTTGGCAGAGAAACTGTGGTGCTGGTTGATCAATCTAACCATATTATCAACACCTACATCTTCTTCGTCGTCTGACCAATTATAGTCTGCATCATAAGTGGTTTCACCATTTGGATCTAACATGATCGACTGAACTAAAGCCTGGAAGAGTTAAAAGAATGGCGATAGCATAAATTAAATGAGTCATTGTCTCTTACACAATCACACAACCTATAGATATTAAATATGAAAGTTATAGAGCAAATACCTTTCCTGCGGCATCAATGTCGCGTGCATGGCCTGGGCTAATACTTTTTTTTCCACCTTTCTCGCTCACATGTGTATTATCATCATCTTCAGAAGAAGATGAACTTCCATCCTCAACAATTTCAGTCAACGCTGGTACACACTCAACCATGACAAGTTGCAGGGACAGTACAAACCCCTTGAGAGCAATAGTGTTTTGTGAAAGGGAAACCTCCTTCCTCTCTTTAATGCTACTCATCAACAAATTGAAAGACACCCTTCCCCACGGATACGCAAAAAAGGCATCAAGATCTCTAATCATCTCAGCCGCTTCCGGTGAGATACGTGGTGTATGTGTTGTGGGAAGTAATACAGCGGAAAGAATAGCCAGGTAAGCGTACTTTAACCTCATTTCACGATCAACAACAGTTTTTTTCTGGAGCATCTTCACAACCGATGAAACAGGAATGTTGGTGAGGGTTCCAAATAGCTCATACCAGTAGGGTGTCTCTGCGACAGATTTCTTAGTCTTCTTTTTCGTTGGTTTTGGGAACCTTTTGCAGTTAAGACCAGTCACCAAAGCAAACTCCCTCAACGAAAACCTAATAGGTTTCTCGGCGAACAAGAACCATGATTCATGCTTCTTCACCACTTTCAGCTGCCTTGATAATAAGTATCGCCCAAATCGGCCGGAGAAACTTGGTTTTTCAGAAATCTCAACCAATTTCCCAAATGGAGATCCCCTAACCTCTTCAATTTCATCGGGAGTAAGGCCACTGAGGATTTTCGTAATTGCGTCGGCCTTGTGATAAGGAGTTACCCTAACACCGGTGGGCTCTTCCCCGACGGCGAAAACTCGTTCCGGTAGTAGAGACGGTTGAATCTGTTCGTCGTCGCTCTCTTCCATTGTTAACAGTTATGCCGTGAATGCGAGTTTCTTTACGAATTTTTTGTTCTGAAGTTTAGGTTGGAGAAGAAGAGGGCTAGAGACGAAGATGGGTAGAGAAGAAGATTTGACAAGCTCTTCTCTCTCGGTATCTACGGGGCTAGTCCTGACAGAAAAGATTTGGTAAATCTTCCAAATCTAATTCTCTTTGCCGTGTAATAGTGGTACTACCCGTAAATTATGGTCAGCTGAGAGGTTTGATACCAGAAGGGTACATGCGTAAATCAACATCACAAACAGTAACGGTCGATTTCGATTTGGGTATATCGCAAATATCGCATAAGGTTTTTGGTAGGGGAGCAAATTTCCCAATTTTAAATAAGAATCATAAATATCATATTTAATAACACTAGATTCTAAAATAAAAATTTAAAATCATCAATTACTGTAGATTTTTCTTAGATTTATACCATCTTAACACTGATCACACAGATTCACACATAAACAAAACAAAAAAAAAACAAAAAAAAGAAGTGGGGACATAAGCAAACGAAGACCGAACACGAAGACTTAAACTATCACAAGTCATCACCGTTGGATATCTCTTAAGTGGGGTAAGATAGACCGTTGATTTTTTATTAAGACGTAGACTATAAACACTATACTACTTCTTCTAAGCTTCCTTGTCCTTTTTAAGGTTAGAAAATATAAAAGAAAGACGTTGGACATTACAAGAGAGAAGACTCAGCTTTAGACTCAACTAGGGCTGGGCATTTTATCCGTTATATTTGATTCGATCCGTTATTCGTTTCGATTCGATCCGAAAATTCCGGATATCCATAAACTTTCGAATCAAAGCAAATACTAAAATTCAATATCCGTTAAAATCGAAGCAAATCACAAATATTAAAATTTTGGAAAGCGGATATCCGATCCGATCCGTAAATATATAAATATATGTATATTTTGATTATATTTAAAATTTTAATTGTATAAAATTATATAATTATTAATTTAGCACATGATTTTGAACAATTCT